AACTGTTGTAGCATGTTGATGAAACTGTGATTTATCAACTATGGGAGGAGACATTCAGAAGTTTAAATGAGCCTTAAAGCTGCGTCATTTAACTGTTTTCCTTGTGCGCAAATAAGAGAAATGGCTCATGGAAGACAGTTTCCAAGAAAGGACATAGTTTTCTTCAGCAGCCATTCTTCCCTAAAACATGTATAGTCAATGGAGTGCTATTTATTTATTTTGCTTCTAAGTTAACTGCATAATAGAAATAAAAAACCTGTATTTTCTAGAACAAAACTGCATTAGAAGAGGTAAATGGCTTGTCACGCTGAACAAATAAAAGAGTGTTGTGAACAGTCTGTGACAAGTGTTTGCTGAGTCTTCTAATCCTCTGCTGTTTGCTTGAATTATTATAACTAATATTTGACTTCCATTTATTTGTGTATTAGAATGTGACTGTTCATATTTTGGGACAAGAACCTAAAGTCCATGGCATTCAACTAGTTCTACAGTTCTGCTATTCAATAGATTAAAAATAGGATACCTGGATTAAAAATGGGATACCTGTCTTTCACTTCTCTGTTCCGATGCCCACACTAGTATTCTCCAAATGTCCCTCTCTATATATAGAAATGTTTCCTGCTTTACCTCCTGAATCACTTATCATGGACACCAATGAAGCTCTCTCTTGTGGTCCTATCAGTTCAGTAGCTTTCATTAAACTCCTTGTTTCTGTGTCCATCTGTGGTCTAATTAAATAGCTAGAGATTGGTAGCCACTGAAAATAAACAGCAGTCACCAAAGTTTTGCCTCTGAAAACCTCTGCATTGTTCTCTGCTTGCCTCATAGATGCTAAAGTCTCTATGGCATCCTTGTGTTCAGTAAACAACTCTTCATTTCTTGGTCCAGTCAGAAAACCTTTTCTGAAAACTGACCCACATTTTACAGAGGACTGGGAAGGCAGGGAAAGAGTTTGAGAAAGTGAGTAAGGAGGGAATGAAGATGGAGACTAGCTGTGATTTCATTCAGTTGGACTGCTTTCTTAAGGTCTTGATCTTTCTCTTTGTAGCAAGGACAGTGTTTTTGATGCTTTGTCTGGGGCAGCCTCCCTGGGTGAGTGCAGATGTGCTGAGCCATTTGGCTGCTGTGTGGACAGACTCAGTCTCTCTTCTCTTTAATGAAGTCATCTCTGCCTGCAGCCCAGCCTCTCCCATCAGTCCATGCTGGAACTTGGCTTTGGCCTGCATAGTTCTGTTGTGATGTAGATGGCCTTCCAGTTAAGTTCTAGAGAAATCTATCCAGCCTTGCACAGAAAGTAAGAAAATAACTTTCTTACATTTTAGTTATTTCAAAAAGTTATCATTACAAAGTGACTGGCTTCATTATGACTTTTATGTATTTTGTTATTTAAAGTGGCATGGAGAAGACAGATTAAGGAGAAAAACTATTGCAAGACATACTTTACTGAAATGTCTGATTTAGGAGCTTCAGGAGACAAAGGCTCAGTACCTTTTTTTTTTTTTCTTGTTGTTTTTGAAAAATTGTTTTCTTGTAATAGCTGCTTTCTCAGTATATTTGTGCTCATTATATTTGAGTTCGCACACACACACACACACACACACACACACACACATACACTTTTTATGTGCTCCTATAAAACTTTTGAAAGGGTAGAAATATAAATGTTTGTCCTTAATGTAATTTCTTTTCAAAAATTCTGACAATCTTGAAGAACTGGTTTTCTTCTTAGAGTTAAAAAAAAATCACTGAGGTGTGTTTATAGTCTGTAGCTTTATTTAATGATCTAGGCACAGTATACTTGGTCTGGTTGTGCCTAAGATCTACAGATCAGGGCCCAGAAACCTGAACTCTTTGTTTTTTTTTTTTTTTAACTTGAATAGGACAGTCTGATCCAGAGCCCAGCAACAAATACTGTCATGTCTAGAAGCACTTCACCCAGTCAACAACAGGAGAACCCTGAAATGGGATCTCAACAGACCTTGGCAAGGGGTGAGGATGAAGATAATGGAACTCCCTGGAGGCACACCTGCCATCTATCCATATCTTTCTTCAAGTCCTTGGGTGACTGCTCCCAAGCTCAGCCAAGTTCCCTAAGACTAGATCACGGCAAGGCAGCATGGCATAGTGCTTCACGCTTTTAATTTCTTGTAGACCCCAACAATATGAATGAATACCTGGGATCCTGGAGTTTACATAACCAATATTTCCTGTACAAGGACATGACCTCAAGGGTCACTCACAGAATGAGATTTTTAATTACCATTTTATTTAGAATTGAATGTGATATAAGTGTAAATCTATTATCAGCATTAATAATTATAAAATAATATTTCTCAATTTAAACGTTCTGGTAATCTTGTCAGACGTTGAAAGAATCAAAAATAGTTGCTTTCTAATTTTCTCTAAAGGAAGATGCCCTTCAAGAACACTTACTTAGGGATTGGGACAATGGTTGAGCCACTGAAGTGCTCTCAGGACACAAGCAAGAGGACCTGAGTTCAGGTATTTGGCACCTAGACGAAAGAGCAAGGCACTATGGCTGTAATCCTAGAAACAAGAGGAATGACTTAGGGAGATGCCAGGTATATTAAGGTTTGGATTCCACTTATACACCTGAACATAGGGAAACACTAGCACACATATTGACAGCACACATTCACACATGCAAACACAGAGATAGGGAGACAGATATATGCACAAAGAAAGCACAAAGTTCAATATATTTATAAAATATCCCAATTATACCTGTTTTTCCTTTTTAACATGTTATCATGGTATTTTACATAGCCATAACCAAAGCAGGGGATCTACCCCCCAGAGAAATGAAATAGATATTAAGGTATGTTTCCCACTTTATTTTAGTTATTTGACGGCATAGTTTTATAAATGATAATTTTGGGAGCCAAGCAGGTGAGAAGTCATGCACCATAAAGCAGCTTCTCAGCATTGTCCATGCCTTGGTAAGGTCTGAGAAAGCACCTTTGCCCTGTAGACCAGTAAAGGATATGAAGAACTATAGATGGTGGCCAGCTAATGAAACACGTTTGGTAAGATAAAGTAAAACATCTTATGATAAAATATATCCAACTAATGACTTCTTATGATGCCCTATCATGTATGTTTATAGAAGGTGCTTGTAGTGAATAGTGATCGTTAGCATGTTTGGGAAATGGGTATCAATGCATTACCAGTGGCTTGCTTCTGTTCTATATCTTCATAGAATTGTTAGCTTGACTGTATTAGGAAGGGAGAGTAGCGTAACAGAGAGATGATAAGGCTTTAGGCCAATGATCTGTCATAAAGTAGCACTTCTAACTCAAACTAGATCCCCCCCCCAAACTTAAGAAATAGATTAATGATACACATCTTGAAGCATTTCAGAGAAAAATCTACCCCAATGCCTGGAATATAAATTCCAGTGAGAATTCATTATGTTTTATTTCTCTTCATTCTGAATGAATTCATGTTGACTCCAGAGTTGTGTTCTGATAAAAAAAAAAAAAAAATCTCTGGTTTCACTCTGTAACCTTGGGGACATCACTTTCTGTACCTGATTGTGCTTGTGTTAAATGCAGTGCTGAAGTCTGACTCCAAGCTGTGAGATTTCAATTTTAGTAGTGGCTGTATAACCATGGCCTAAATGTAAATAATTCACTGATAGCCAAACTGACTTCCAAGTGGCCCATGGGATAGTTATGTCACTCCTTGTTATGAGTGATAAATAAAAAGAAATATGAAAAAACACACATTTGAGAATGAAATCACACTGATAAATCTACCACACGTTTATCGCTTAAAATCTGTGGCCAGATTGAGTCTATAAATTGTAGAAGAGGAATCCACATTCTGAGGAGTCTAGATTACAAATTTAGAACTGTGAGATGAAGCCAATCTAATTAAAGAAATCCAGAGTAAAGACAAACTTTCTGTGGTAATCACTACTGTTTCTGAAGTTCTGTGCTTGATGTAATTTCCTAAGCAAAACATCCAGAGCCAATAATTACAAGGATATTTCCATATTAGCGTAGGAGGAAAAGTTAGTAATTGTTTCAGTACCCCTAGAGTTACCTCGATGTGCCTTGAGAACTTATTTTGTCCCTAATGCATAAAATCATACCAGACTTCAAAGCAATGGAAAATTCAAAGTCCTTCTTTGGGGGGCCAGAAATCCTTTGTGCTAACTGGTTGACCCTTTGCTCTTTAAGGTCCTAATGGAGGTCTTTTGTGACTCAGTGGAGGGTGCACTTCCCTGTATTGATGTTGTTTACATCTCTGGGTATGCCTGAGTAAAAGAAAAAAAAAAAAATACAAGCATGAAAGATTCCATTTCCTGACAACATGGAAGGACTGATAAGTGCACAGATTCTGTGTGCTGTAGAAAATTCTTTGAGAGGTCCGGTAAAAGACAGGGAAGGAGGAGGAAGTAAGAAAGCTGAGTGCCTTTAAGTAAAGATGCGGATTTATGTCAGAGAAAGGATTCTCTTTGAATGGGACAAGGGATTGCCTGGGGGATTTCCTGTCCAGCCCTTTATTGCCAGGGTCTTTGTGTAGGGCCTGATGCCTCAGGCTCCCCATTGGGCAGTTCCCTAGGGAGGGCAGTGGCAAATGCTCACAGTCTCTCTGGAGCTCAGGATCTCACTTTCTCTGTATCTCTTTCAGGTTGGCAGGAGCCTTGAGCCTGACACCTCTTCAGATGGGACAGGCATGCTCCGTGGGGCATTAAACACGTATTATGCAAGTTCTTTGCTGGTTTTATAGAGTCCCGTCTGCTCCTAAGAACTGACCATACTATACTTAATTGCTCCGTGCTTGCCTGCTCTCCCAGAGCTTGGGGACTCCTTTCCCCTACTTCAGAAGTGGCAGCACAGGGCGGGGGAAGGGGGTGGGGTGGGGGGACGATGGGAAGGCAGTTGTTTGAGTGCGCGCAGCGAGATAATACTGGGTGGCTGAATGAGGAGCGCAGGGTTCCCCCCAGCCGATTGGTACTTCTTGTCAGGAAGAACCGCTGAGAGGTGGGAGTGCCAGGCGAGGGAGGCAGGCGGTCCCCTCGGAGGGCGCTGGGAGCTCCTTTCCGCCCCTCCGCCTGTTTCCAAGCCTGGGCTCTTTGGAGTGGCTGAAGCTGCGAAGCGCTTCTAGAGCCTGTGAATGAACCCTCCTCCTCTCCCTCCTCCTTCTCCCTGAGTCTCCTCCTCGGCGCTGACGGTACAGTGATATAATGACGATGGGTGTCACAACCCGCATTTGAACTTGCAGGCGAGCTGCCCCGAGCCTTTCTGGGGAAGAACTGAAGGCGCGCGGGCGCAGCAGCCGCGGGTTATTGGGTGCTGGGGACAGACGCTGGGACAGGGATCTGCGGCAAGCAGCGCATCCTCCCTCACCTCCAGCTCTGTCCCGCACTCGCCTCATCTTTCCCCAGGCCACCGCGCTTCCTATGTGATCTGCCGGGGCAACGCGGAGCCCATCTTCACAGCTCAGCAGTGAATTTTCTCCCCCAAACTGCAGTACGCCGCCTTTCAAGGTAATCACGTTTCTTTTGTTCCCCATTTAAAGGAAAGAGGGTAAAACTTGTTGAGAAAAGAAAAACCGCCGGGCTTAGTTGGGGGTGGGGGGTACACTGCAATTGGAAGAGGGCTTTAATTAAAGCAAAGAGGACTAGCTGTAGGCGAAGTTAAGCAAATGTACACACTTTACAACATGCAGGTAACTTTGAAGAGGCTTGTTAAAGAGGAATTCAGACAGACCTTGGTGCTGAAAAAGATCTAGACAAAGAAGCCAGGGGTGGGGTAGAGGAAAAGGATGAACGGAATAGGGGGACAGGATTTTCAAGAGAAATCCTAGAAAAGTCATGCTACCTTGAGTTGGAAGAATAGGAGAGGCTCACACTTTGGTATTTTGTTGCGTTTTAATGATTGAGGCAAAAGTTTGAATGGGGACTCCCCAGACTTGTCCAGATACAGGTCCCTGAAATCACCTAAGGGCAGACCACCTGGTTTCCTGGCTCCTGGTGTGTGGTCAGTATCTATGGTTCCTGGAAAGCCACCCCTGGGTAGCTCCTGACCAGGCAGCGGGGTACTTTAACTACCAAGGACCTGAGAGGACAGGACCCCTGCCCCCCCCCCGTAGCCCCTCGCGCACAGACTAAGTGCAAACCTTTCTGACAGGGGTTGGGCAGGGTACTGGGGTTAGGTTTCTTTGATGACTTGGGGGCTGTCAAAGCTCCCTCATGTTGCCCCTGTATTCTTTTGTCCTGCGCGTGGTGCGCCGGAGCCAGCCGGGAAGGAGCAGTGGTTGGGGGTGGGGTTGTTGGAACACCCTAGAGGTCTGGGAGGCTCCTGGGCGGGAAAGCTCCCCCTGAACCAGAGAGATGTGTAGTGTTTTTCGTCCTCCCTCTGGAAAGTGAAATGGGGAGTTGTCGCCCTCGTCTTTAGCAGCAAACCAGGACCCAGAGCGCTCTCTAGACAAAGGTGGTGCAGAGATCCGAGTTAGGGACCAATTGGTCCAGTCTTGTCGCTTGAATTACCAAAGTCCTCTGTTCCCTACTACATCTTCACCAGCTTTCATTTCTCCACTTGAGTTGAGCAACTTTACCGGCTGGTAGAGTGGCTGCGGAGAGCGCGTGCCGGGAGTCCCCGGGGATGCCCTGGCTGAGAGTGTCCCATTGCCCCGAGTAAGCGTGGGCATCGATTGCAGAGACTTCTCTGGTGCCTGCAGACCCGGGACATCCCGGTTGTCCCGGCTTGTTCTCTGTGTCAATGGGCGTGGAACGGTCATGGGGTTAGACAGAAGAAATAGGGGTAAGAAAATAATGTCATAGCCTAAACTATTTACTCTCGGATCCAACTACGTACGCCTCCGCATATCCAGCTTGTTCTTGGGATCCTTCGGAAAGGGGAAGAAATCTCCCCTACCCCAAGCCAGGCGGCAGTGCTATTCTGCCCCGAGTACAGCTGCAGCAGAGTGTCACTATCTGTGTCCCCTCATCTTTGTGTCTCCTTCTCTGTCTCCATCTTCTCTGCCTTCTCTGGCCCCTCTCTGCCTCCTGTCCGCGTTTGCGTCCCCTCCCCCATGGCTGACAAATGAATGGCTAGTGTGAAATCCCTTCCTTCTCGGTCAGAGGAGGCAGGCCCAGAGGGAGGAGCAAGGGGGGCGGTGCGCTCCTTAAGATCTGCTTGTAGTTGGGTGTTTCCGACTAGCAGAACCCAGATGTCTAGGAATAGGGAGTTTTGTGGTAGGTGTGAGCTCCCCCTGATGGAGGAATTCGGCACAAGCGGAGAAAAAGAAGGAAAGTAAACCGTTTTCACATCCCTGTGTATACATCATTTGGTTCAAAGAGAGAAGATTCCGGCCCCCTTTTAATAGTCAGTTTTCCACTTCAGAATCTGGGACATGAATTTTGGGGTTTGGAGGAAAACGAAAGAAGGGATTTTGGCCGTCCCGAGAGCAGGGGCTTCTTTTCTTCAGTCCTCCTGGCTTCACGCGGCGCTCTGGGCGGCGCCTGCAGCTTGCTGGACTAACAACGCTGGCAACTGAGCCAGGTTTGAGGTTTCATGACATGCAATTTGCTCATCTTTAAGAAAAGTAATAGACGTACTTGCTTTGGCAAAATTAGCCAAGGTCCTTGAACACAATGCTGGGGCCCTGTTCCATGCTGTTGTAATAGAGTGCCTCCTAATCCAACTTCTTCAACACTGGGACACGCGATGCACGTGGAAACTGGGGAGAAGGTTCCTAGGGGCAAAGGAAAGGAGTGGAAAAGATAGGGAAGGAATGAGGACAATGGAGGATAGGCGGAAAAAAGAAAGGAAAGTAGACGAAACGGATGAATGGAAGATAGCCAGGAGCCGGGAGGACTTGTTTCGAAATATCGGTCTCAATTTCGTGCCCATTATGTTCACTGCGATAACAAGCGCATCTTTGCCTGGTGCTGGCCTAGGAAGTAACTACACAGCAGAGGTGGTCCCGCCCCGCCTACCTGAGTTTGTCCCGCTTTTGGGGAGGGACCCTGCTAAAAGCACTGCCTTCAGCAGCTGGGCTTTGCCATCCGCCACGTGGGCTGGAGCTTCAGCTCAGGGCGCGAGACGGGTGTGACTTCCTGGGCTCTCAGACAGCTGCACAGCTGTTCCGGCGATCCGTTCAGCCTAGGTCTCCAGTGGCTGCGGCCAACTGGGGCGGGTCTGGGCTGGACCCGGGTGGTGCCTTGGCTGGCTTGCCTCCTAGAGCTCCAATGGCTCTTTGAAGCTGGAGCGGGCCCAACTTCTGCCTAGATGGCACTAAAGGCTCACTTTAAAAGTCTTAAAATCCTCTTTTTCTTCTGTTTCTTGGGAGTGATATGCAAGGTTCGGGGATTTTTGCTTTAAAAGGAGAAATGAAGAATTACTCTTAGTCAACTCTTGGCACGAAAATGAGACAAGTTTGTGATTGCTCCATGCATTCATTTTTAAATACATTCACGTTTGCCTAAAGACCACTTTTAACCAGCGACAAAATTAATTCTGGTGTAAATGAGTATCAACCAGGACCCTTAGAGTGGGCAGGGGGTAGATGTTGGCCAAATGACTAATAAAAGACCTGGGGTGGGGGTGGTGTGTGTGTGTGTGTGTGTGTGTGTGTGTGTGTGTGTGTGTGTGTGTGTGTGTGTGCACATCCCCGGGGGATGGGGGGGTGGCTATGTAGACTGGACATTGCTACTAAGAGCTTCGTATTAAACTCTTCAGCTTCTAATTCGGAGGCTGTAGGTTTTAATGGTCTGCTTTCTCACCTTAAATACTATTTATAATTGGTCCATTCTTGGTTTTGTTTATCTCTAAAAGCTATGGCCAAAATCGTGCCAAGTACTGCTTAGCAACTGTGTTAAACTCGGGAAATATTCACATAAAATCCTAAAAAGGAACATTCTGATTTTAATAGAAAACAACAATCGGATGATTTTCTGAGGTGGATTGGGGGTTCCCATTGTCAGAGCAATATAGCAAGGAGGGGGGTCTTAAAGAAATCTGATCTGAGTTCTAATTCTGAGCACAAAGTAAGAAAGGGATCTTTGACAAATTGCATCTGCATGTCCCCACTAATACTGCAAAGGGTTCCAATGGATTCAGAAGCAATTGAGCAATTACTTCCTCCAGCAGGAAGTCCACAGTCCTTAATCTTCTTGTGGGTGGGGGAAAGAGGAATGGGATTCAAAACCATCACTTAGAGTTTATGTAAGAGTTCAAAGTTTCGGTATTTCTTCGTGGTTTAAAAAAAAATTAAGGTTCTTTATAAGTCTTTTTTTTTTTTCTTTTAAAAAAAAAGTTTGAAAAGAATTTTCTCAGGTTTATGGGTATTTATAATCAGGCTTCCCTCGTTTTTTGCTTTTGCAAATTGCAAGGAAATCCCTCTGCTATTCTGAGCTGTCTCAATCTATATTGGAGTAATTCTGTTTGGAAAGGATATAAAAGGCTAACTCAAAGCTGAAGATGGTTAATGTGAGTGATGCACCCATTGTTCTGTCTCTCCTTACAGGGTTATGCTTAAACACTCCCAGGTTAATGATTGGTCAGTAATGGGACACCCTGGAGCCCTTGAATGCACAAAGACCAACTGGCTCTGTTTTCCACAGTCATGTACTCATCTCTTTCTTTTTCCTGTTGGAGTTCAAACATTCTTGTTGACTTTATTCTTGGACAAACATCCACAGACACTACATTTTAGATGGGATATGACTCTGAGAGCGCAGAACTTCTTGGTGCTTTGTGGCAAAAGAATGGGTGCCCAATATTAGGTGGATTTTTAAAATTGCCTCCACCCACCCCGAGAAATCAGTGAGGAGACAAACACTCATTGTTAGAGGTTACTTGCCCTGGTGTGGAAAAATGTGCTGCCTGTTGCATACGTTTGGAGTCAGAACAAGGGGGAGGAAACACTTTTGACCAAGTTCCATTTGGGTTTGTGAAGGTTTGTCAGTTTCTTCTTATATCCTAAACTCTTTTGATCGACCTGTTATATATGGAAGGGTACATATATAGTCTGCTTGCCAGAAACGACCATTTTCAGCACCAGAGAGATCCGCACCAGCGAGATCCACAGTGGTGAAGTGTGTGCAGTAGAGTGCGCTTCTCTAGCAGAGGACTGGAGTTTGCATGCCAGGCTGCTCACAATCACTTTTAACAGAGAGATTTGACTGGTCTCTGCACTCACATGTAGGCACACAAGTGTGTCCATGCATACATACATACATACACACACACACACACACACACACACACACACACATTTTAAAAATAAGATCAGTATTTTAAGAAAGAAATGATCCATTTCATAGTAAACACAGAAGTAGTAAGTCATGAATCACAGCCTTTATTTTTTTACCATTAAGGCATTGTTTCAACCCGAATGAGACAGCCTGGAGTGACCATTAGACTTGGTAATCAGAAAGGTTGTGCTGCGTGCTCTAACTCGGAAACCAAGTTAAATGGAACTGCTGCTGGGGCTGCAATGTCAAATTTTACTACATGGATAATGTTACAATGTTTAGAAGAC